ATTAGTATAAAAATTAAGTAGATGTAAAATTGAAAATAAGCATAAATATTTATTAAAACTTTTAAAAAGATATTACTTAATTTGAATTCAAAGTTGATAACATTAGCGTCTTTTCAATTATAATAATCAACATAACTTCATCTAAATTTAAAACAATTATTTTTATAACCATTATTTTCAAAACTTTTGTAGATGCACATATAATTATTTTTAATTCTGAATCTAAAAATAAATAAATAATCATATATCCAGTTAAGAAACTTGTTTAAGTACTAATTTGATTTTGTTAATTTAGTTTGGGAAAAGTTAGGTAACAATAGCTACGTGGTGAGGAAGAAGAGTAAGTAAATACAATCTACAGATGTTTTACAAGTTAGCCATTAACATGGCTCGAATTTTGGCTCTGAGCTCTTCAGGAACATCAGTTACTTCAGGTGATTGAGATGAAGCCCTTGCATTGGATAATCCAGCAGATGCCTCCCTGCTACCACGTCCAACTGCCGACTTTTCCAATTTCATAATTATTTCTCCCTCCTCCAGCTCTGTTTCTCTGTCACCACGGGATCTGCTCCCACGCTTTACACTTCTGCTTCGGTGCCTGTGCTCACCATCAGACGAACTATAATGTTTATTAGAACGGCGAGAATGTCTACGTTTATGGTGTTCGTCGTCAGAGGAACTATCGTAGTTATGACGACGCCTTGAACGTTGATGTTCATCATCAGAGGAACTGTCATGCTCGACCCCCCTGTAAGAATGCCCGTCTTTGGAAGAGGATTGTTTTCTCTTGTGCTTATGTCTGTCTCGACTGTGGTGTGAAGACCGATGTCTTTTTCCTGATCGTTTGTGTCGTCTTTTATCTTCTTGCTCTTCTTTCTTCTCGTCTTCCTCCTCCTCTTCATGTCTACTATGTCTTGAACGGTACTTTCTTTTTGAACGGCGTTCGTTATCACCACTAACTTTTTCCTCATTCTTCTGACTTTTATCTGAATTATCAACAGAAAGCTTCTCAGAATTTTGACTTTTATCTGAATGTTCGACGTCAAATGGAACAGAACTTCCTTCCCTTTCTTTACCCACAAGATTCACAGTCTCAGCATCTGAACCGGAAAGGCCAGAGCCAAGTGGTTCCACTGACAAAGCTCGTGGCAATTCACTTGCTCCAACACAGCTTTTTAGCATGGCTGCAAACATCTTTGCTCGTTTCAATCTCTCTGCTTTAATCTTTTGCTCTTTAGTCATATGTGCTTCGGAGGAGTCCGCTTCACCTGCTGTTGCAATAGCTATCTTTTCCGCAATAGCCTTCGCAACAGGAGCAGAAGCCCCGGGCTTTGCAATTAAGTTTGGATTTTCAACAAGAGCTTGTGGTTGGGATGAATACAGACTCCCAGTCCCAGAGCTAGATAAATACCCACCATCACTTCCAAGACCCTGACCACTACCACTTGATGTCTTGTTAAAAAGTTCTAAATTAGGGTTTTTCATACCCCTAGTGGCAGCCTGAAGAATAGCTGCTGTCGCAGCTGCATCCATGCTAACTGTGTTTTGAGCTTGGTCTTTGGGAATTGGATCTTGACCATCCTTCTTTGACTTGCCAATAGTCATCTTGAACTTTTCTTTTCGGTCCTTATCATGTGGTAGATCAGAAGCCATAGATTCATGTACATGATTGTCACTTTCATCATGTACACCAGAATTATTGTCCACCACTCGACCTACTGGATTGTGCTTCTGGTGGCCCTTGCCTCGTAACTTGGACTGAACAAAATTAGGAAGATCAGCCGTAAGTAGTAGATCAAAGTCAAAATTAACAATACCTAAATCAAATTTGCAAATAATTCATGGAACACTAGTGCAAAAAATGTCTCCAGAACCCAAATAAAATAATTACTAGAAATTGAAGGCACTATTTAGCAGATGACAATGTCTGGCAATTAAAATGTGTTTTTTCTTAGAGGGAGGGGTAGGTAGAAGGCATTCAATCTTAGAGTGACAAGGATCATGTCCTACAAGCGAGTAAAGTGCAGGTGCAATTAATTGCTAGCTTATCAGGAAACAATTTGAACATACACTAAAAATAAGTTCACTTTTATTATTCCGTGAAACTCACCTGTTCTACAGACTGAAGAACTTTTAGATAGTAAGTATGATATCGATTTGATGGCAGAAGAAAGGGGAACCTTCCATGAGGACGATCCTGTTCTGCAAGAACAGCCTCAAATTGTTTTCCGTTTTTTAGGATGAACTCAACGATCTTCTCTATAGCTCTCTTTAATTCAGACGGAGGTTCAATAACAGGCAGTTCAATCTTAGCTGCAGTACTGGGGAAAGAAGTCTGCGACTTGTTCTGTGTATTATTAGACGTTGAATCCAAGCCATCACCTGATTTTGCTTTAACTATGGTTGCAGTCTTAACAGTACTGATAGAATGATTCCGCTTTATGACTGGAACTTTTTCTTTCAAAGGTACTGCGTTTTTAGAAACGTTTCCATCCTTCTTGGCCACATCTGAACAAGATTCTGCCGGCTCTACTCCAGGAGAAGTATAAGTACTAACAGCATCAATAGCTCCCCCACATTCCTTTTTCCCAAAGTCAAAAGTGTTCTCAGATGTACCATCCTCATCCTCTCCGGATCCATAGACAGATCCAAGCAAAGACAATGCACCACCTATTTGATCACCCCCCCGAGTCTTATTGATGTCCTCGGTTGAGCTGCCATCATCTTTGTCAGCTTTCAGAAGTTCTTTGTGATTAATAAGAAATCTAAAATATGCATGAAGATGATGATCAGGCATCAGGAATCCAAAGGTTGGATTATCTCCTTGTTTCACCCTAAGAAGGATTTCTGACTGACTTCCATGTTTGCAGACAAACATTGCAGTCCTTGAAATAATCTGATGTATTTTCTCATTTGGAGGCTGGAAAAGAACAACAAACAACAAATGTTTCTCAATCAATAAATTCAAATTTCAAAATTAGCATAAGTATAAACTTAGAAAGGGCCTTGCCAAGCAGAATATTAAGATAATTGTATCTTACTAAACAAACACGTGACAACTTCAAATATACTTGGATAATGATAAAGATCAAGAAACAGAACTTTATGTAGACAAGTATCATCCCATTTGCTCTCAAGAGATAAGGAATCAACAAATTTCTATCATCCTAATCCCACCTGCACGGCCCCTTCTCATGACATCAAAAGGAAAAAAAGGTGCCTGTGAATGGCTACCTTGAGTCACAAGAACTCCATTCATGCTCCGAGCATCTGAAACTTAGACATCATAAGCCTTAGAATAACATATGTACCCTAGACAATTATCACCTAATGACATTGGTTAAACAATGAAAGGTCAATTAAGTTAGTAACATTCAAAAACCACACAATTAAAGTATGTATTAAGACATGTTACTCACCAGATTATGGAGTAGACTCTCTGGTACTGGGAAGTTCGGACGAAAACTAGACTCAGCATCATCTTCCTTTGTCTCCATGGAAGCATTAGTATTTCCATATGAAAATGCAACAGCATTAAAGCCAGCTGAACTTACTGGACCTGAACCATTATCTAAACAAACATAAAGGTGACATCCGACATCAGAATCCAATATAATTTTCAAAGGCAACAATATCATCCAACTAAAACAGTAATTGGAACACAGAAGAAGCCGAAGGTAAATTGAAGCCAGGTGAAAACATCCTTACTTGTATTCTGACACAGGAACCGTAGCAAATTACATTCCATCCTGCAAATGTGACATTGTGGTTGCACAAAAAATAAAAACACTCAACCGTCTCAGGTGGATGCTGGAAAAGTAAAATATTGTTCCAAGTTTCCAACATCGACTGAAAAACACTTGACTTGTAGCCAACAAAGCACCATCACTTAGTTGCCTCAACTAAATGTTATGTCCAACCAAATATATCAATGTGTCTTAAAGACGATAACAGATTGAACAAACTTGATACCTTATGTGTTTAAAAACAGATTTCGTCTTTCAGACACATTGATATATTTGGTTATACATGACATTTAATTGAGACAACTAGGTGATGGTGCATTGTTGGTACTATTATATTAAAGCTGTAAAGTTAGCAAATTTGTACATAAAATGTGAATTATATATATCTTAATTGTAAATTGAGAATTTTGCCATGTTGTTTAATATATAGATCCCCAAAGATATAAGCAATGTCAACGTTGAAGTTGGCGGCCATATCGATGTTGAAGTCAAATTCAGTATTTCATAGATCTCATTCCTTTTATATAGAAAAACTTATGTTTTTGATAACATCTTTTGTATGTTTGTATATTACTGTACTTTCATATAGCTGTAGTGGATTTTCATAAAATGTTTTAAAAATTATACAAATCTACGAAGTATCCCAAAGCATAAGCATCTATGGAAAAAAACGAATTATTGACATTTCTTAGGTTGGATACTTCAGCGATACCTATCAGATTAAATATAAAGAATATCGGTATTTGAGAAAGCAAATTGAAGTATGGTATTCCATACCTTACAATCCAATATGTCACATCTGATAAGTGTGAAAAAGAGTTGTTTTATTATACAGGGGTGTATAATTTGGAGTCTGTCAGCCAATTCTCGCATAGCACAAGCCAAAATTCGCACAGCCAGAAAAATAAATTATAAGGAAATTATAGCGCACCAGTACCTGTGCGAATAACATCAGTCAGCAGTTAAAGGAAATTCGCAAAGCGCACACACACTTGTGCGCTGAGACGATCTGGAGACCTTTCAAGACAAGACTTCACTTTCTGCAAGGAATTGCGGTAAAGAGTACGTTTAAGATCCTTTTTCAAACCTGCTCCTTTTCGAGTTAAGAGAGATAGATAAATAGACACATCTCATTGCACTGATCGGGGGCGTTCGTAGTGACTGAGGGGGTCAAAGACCAAGAAGTGAGTTATTTAACAGCCAAGCATTTTATTCTTCTTATGGCTAGATCCAATCTCCTGGTCCACGTGGAAAGGAAAAAGAATTTCAAGTTCTTCCTTTCGGGAAGGATTAGGAAAATCCTATTGATTGCAATTTTCTCCAGACCCCCGGGAAAAGCATGAAAAAAAGGCTCGAATGGTACGATCCTGCCGTCACCCCAGAATGAAAGGGGCGATCTCGTAGTTCTTGGTATGTGAAGATACGTTGTTAGGTGCTCCGTTTTTTCCCATTGAGGCCAAACCTAAACCTGGTTTGAGATGTCTAGGATAGACTAAATTTTCTGTTCATTGGAATTGGTTGTATGACGACATATTAATGTAAATTTCCTGATGTTTATGTTCTTGTTCTTTTCTTGACTTGCTTTTGATTATATGGAAGTATAATTCTCTTTGAAAGTTCTTTTGTACTGGGAAATATTTTTAGAACCAGAAACCGTAAGAAAAGAAACTACTTTTGGCTATTCTCTGAATTAATTAAGGAATTAATAATTTAATGGATAATTTTAGAATTTGTTTTTAAAGAATTAAACACAGATACACTTATGTGAATGCTTGAGAATATATGTTGTTCAGGATGTTAGTCAAAGACCAATTTGTATTTTTCAATCTTAATTTTTTAAGTTGTTAATTTCATGCTAATTTCCAAATTGAAAAATCACAAATGTTATCATCTGATCTTGATAAATATTAAATAATTTTAATTGAATAACGTAAGTCAAATTCCAGGATACTCTTAACTTAATTCCCTGTATTACTGTATTACTTGAAGTATACTAGCCAAAAAGATATCAAACACAAACTTTAAAAACCTCGGTTCTACAATAAAAAGTAGAAAGCTATGCATGCAAGCAAAAATTCTAGCTAAAGCCAACAAATACCAAAAAGCTTTATCTTAAAGCTTGAGTTCTATGAAAAACTAAAATTTCAATCCAAGGTTTTCTAAGGACTGCCACCGACTTGCATTTGATTGACTTTTGCTCTGACCATAGCTTCTAACGAATGGGAATGAACCTTGGAAAGCAAACAAAACTCCGCAGTTTCTCTCCATAAAAAGAACATAAAATAAGCTCGAAGAAAACATCATCAAAATAAAACTACCAGTCATACTTTTGAGAGCTTCTCGTTGAGAAAAAAAAA